GGCAGCGGCAGCAGCAGCGGCAGCAACAGCCTCCTCCTGGATCGGCGAAACGCGACTCTTGCTGGCGCGGTCGGTGGCGGGACTCCTGCTGGCGAGCTCACGTCGCTCGAGATCGCGGGCGAGCTGTTCTCGGTATTGGTTGAGCTGCTGCTGCGAGTCGACGTGGGGTAGAGAGACGTCCTCGGTGTTCGTAGGCGGGTGCTGGTTCGGTGGGCCGGCTTTGGCGGTTTTGCGAGTGGCGAGGTCATCGGCAAAGCTCACGGTACGCGGGCTTGGGCTTGGGTGGCCGCGGCCCGGAGGGTATTGCGAGTTTTGTGTGGGCATGGCTGGTCGCGCTTTGGCAGCAGCTGGCGACTCGGCGCCTATTCCATGACGAGGACTCGGCGGGGGCGCGTTGCGCTCGGCGGCGGAGGCGGCAGGCGCGGGGGTCGTCGTGGTATCGGAAGAAGAAGACGATCGTCGGGGCAGGCTAATCCGTCGCGCAAAGGACGAGCCTTTCTTGTCTCCCGGAGAGTTGAGGCTGGGCATTCCTCATAGAGAGAACGACGCTACACGAGCGTGCAGAAAGTCTGTCGTCCAAAGCGCAGTGGCGTGTCGTAGCGCCGAAGGGGGAAATCAGACGGAAGGCGAGACAGAGAGGTCGGTATCGAAGCGGTGACGAGAGAGACGATACAAAGCCGGCTGTCTCGTAGTATCGTCGCTGGGCGTGTGTCGCTCTCACACTGGTGAACAAGGGAAGCAATCAAGTCAGTAGTTCGAAGGTGGCGAAGAGGGCTGCGTGGTGAGCAGGCCCCGAGGGAATTAAAAAAAAACACAGGCTGCAGGTGCAGTGAGGCGTGGCGGAGGAGGAGGAGGAGGAGTGGGAAGAATGCGATCGAGGTTGGTAGTGGTGGTGGTGGTGGTGGTGACAGGGCCAGGGCCAGAGGCAAAGGAGTCGCTCAAGAGGACTCTCGGGTGGTTTGGCAGGTATGCGTTGTCAGCGTCTCGTTGCAGTGCTGCTCTGCTTTGCAGGGCCCTGAGGTGCTCAGGTGCTCAGGTGCTGGTGTGCTTAGGTGCTGCTGCCCTCTCGCAGACGGTGCGAGGTGGATAGGATAGTGCCCGCTGGTGCGCAAGTCCCTCGTTAGTGCAAAGTGCGGAGCGCGGCCAGTCCCCGTGGGTGGTGTCGCTCTTGTCAGGCCCGCGACGAAAATGACGTAGGAGACTTGTCGCTCAGCTTGCCTGTCAAACAACGTGTCTGACTCGGATCCCTCGTCTCCCTCACAGGTTGACTGGTCGTTTCTCGGCAGGGCCGCAGAACCAGAAAACAGGAACAGGTATAGGACGCGTTCCCTCATGGGATGATCGCTTCCGATCCGGAAGCTTTTGTTTTTTTCCATTTTTCTCTCGCTCATCCGCTGCCAGTAGAGTAGGTCTTCCATCGGGGGCCTTCTTTCTATCTGCCTGCCTAGGTACCTGACCTTACTTACCACCCGAGGTACCTGACCTTACTTACCACCCGAGGTGCCTTACCTTACTTACCACCCAAGGTACCCAGAGTACCTACCTACCTAGGTGCCTACCTTGGTGCCTACCTAGGTGCCTGGGGTAGGACAGGGTCGCAGAGAAGCGTGCCTTACCTGTCAGGCCGATTGCCTCGCCCCCTCAGGCAGGCAGCGCCAACAGACGAACAAAAACAGGGCAGATGGGCGGGCAACCGCAGAACTGGCAGGGCTGGCAACAGGCATTTACGGTCTCTCCCTCCTTTGTCTTGCCTCTGAACGTGCGTGCGTGCTCGCCATGCCAGGCCAGCCAGCCAGCCAGGCCAGCCTCTCCTCCGCCTGGCCCCAAGGGCTCAAGCTTCAGACACGCAGCAGTTCTTCGGTTCTTCACCAGGCACCATACTTAGGACAGGGCAGGCAATCTCCCCCTCCCTCCCCCCCCCCCCCCCCTCCACTCGCCATCTTGAACAAATCGATGCCTCGCAAGCACACAATCCGATCCGACGGGCGCATGCATTCCATCGTACCATCTGCACAGTCCCCCCATCCTCGCTAGCAATACCACGTACTCGCTAGCAGGCAAAAATAGGGTCCCCCTATTCCGAACGCGAGCAGCCACCGTGCGGCCGTCATCCTGGCCCCCCTCCTACTACATGTACACGAGATAGACTACACGACAACCGCCGCCCGATCACGATCGCTGTCCAGGGCGGGCGAGGGGCTTACGCGACAGGCCTCTGCGCTGTACAAGGAGGTCGCCCCAGACAGTGGGGTCAGCCAGCGGCCGCTGGTGTTCTGGACTCTCTCTTTCTGGCCTCAGCGACATGACCTCGATTTCCCATTGTGGGCCTCCTGCACGTGCCGGCTCTCTCCTCCCCCCCCCCCCCTGTTCCCCTGGAACATTGGCCAGCAAACGCCGCGGCGCCCCTAACAGCCACGGTGAGAGAGAGAAGCGCGCCCAGGATCCAGGACTAGTGGCCTCGACGGCGAGTACTGGCAAATCCCAGACACTTTATCCGAGAGGCGTCCATCATCGCCGATCTGCCTTGGGACTCCGAATCCCAAATGTGTCGAATGAGGCCCCGACTCGGTCGCAGAGGGCCAACTGCTCCGTCGCGAATCGTCCAGCTTCCGGGCTTGCTGTCCGCTGCTGTTCAGAACGGCAACCTCCGCCGTCGCCGCGCGAGGAATGGTTATTTTCCTCAGATCGCTAGTTTCCCTCTGGTCGCCAGATGTGGTCGCCCCAGGGAGACGAACGTGCAGTGCAGCATGAAGAAATGCTTGAACCGCGTGGCCGGGAGCCAAGAACGCTGACACGACCGACCGGCCTTCTCCTCCGCATGCCGTCACGACGCTATCCAAACTGGCAGGTCCTGGTCAACCGCGCCATGGCAATCGAAAGGTTGATGTTCCACCTCCCCCGAAATACAAGGCAACGAGGACACGCGGCATCTTGACGGGATGCCCCCTCCAGCCTTTCTTCAGCATGATCCCCGACACGCAAATGGACAGAGCCAGTCGTCCCAACGAAAGCCTTACATTTGTGTCTCTGACCAGGTTTCTTCACAAGCATCAATTGGATCGCGCTGAAGACTGCCCGGTTTCACAGCCCCGCGAGTCAAAGAACTGGCGTGACTCCCCACTGACGGTGCGCTGAAAAGGCAGCAAAGCATTGTGTTTTACTTGATAGATTGGGGGCGTGATTTTTGATTGCCCGCCTGCTGCCTGCCTGCCTGCCGGCCGCTGGTGGTGGTGGGACAATGACAAGCCAGGCGATCTGGAAACGGCCCACCACTACCGTCGCATGGCATGGAGGCTCGCGCCCCAGTGATCATGTACATCTCCATCTCATTCTCTTCTTCTCTCACCGAACCGTCGCAATGGATTCCCGTGAGCCTGAAGCTCCGATGATCAGAGACTGTCCGATGCAGCCTTGGCGCCCCCCGGCGACGCCCTCCCGTTGGCCAGGCGCATGACCACCACCCCCTGCAGCAAAAGGCATGGCATCGCCGTACATGACGTAGAGGGTGCGACATGGCGTGGGCGGCGCCGAGCCGCCACCCCTGCCCTCCCAAGCTCCCGAGCTCGTCTTGCCGTCCACCGCCCATCAAAGTCTTGCGACGCAACGGGCGTAGCGTGACGGGCGGTAGGGGGGGGATGTGAACGTACGTCGCGTGGCGGCCCTGTTCTTCCGACTGATCAGACTGAAGAGAAGAAGGAAAAAAAAACCGGACGGAACCGCTAGTCTAGAAACAGGTCCTCTGGACTGAGTCAGCGAACCAAAGGCTTCGGCACTAGTGATGATGGAAACTGTTCGAGACGATCTGCCGGGAGACGGCCATCACCATAGCAGGTCGCGAGGCGCGGAGGCGGCAGTCACCACCGCAGCCACGATCGTGGAGTTTGCGCATGCCAGCGATTCATCGGGCCGAGATACATCGAGTTGGTTGCTGACGTGGACTGCGAACAAGCTATCGTCTCCCCCCCCCCCCCTCCTCACAACTCGTGTCTTTCTGGTATACTTGCGATGATGAGGTCATGATTACATTATTGTGAGGTTTTGTCGGTGTAGACCATATCCCATCAAATTCGCTTGTTTCTCATGTCAAATCAGTGGATCCCAACAGCTCCGCCTACCATCCGTTCAAATGGTGGACTGTGGACGCGCGCTGAGGATAATCGAGCGGCGCCTCACCGAGCCTTGGACAACCTCCACTGCACGGCCTCGATCTTTTTCCTCGCGCAATATACGGCCCTGTGAATGGGGGGGGTTCAACGAGGCCAGATACGAAGTATGGGCGCGAGCATGCCTTGCCACAGAAATGAACACGCCAAGATGACCCTCTCATCCGGACATGCACTTTCCAGTACCCCGACATGACTCTGTCCACGACCATTGGAGGCTATATGCCAAACATGATATAGGACCCCGTGGGCGGGTTTTCAGGGAGGGGTCATGAACATGCCCCCCCCTTCCGGATCAACCCAGCCATGGTGCCCGGTTGCATCTGCCAAAGTGACCCTGAATCCTGTATTGGGGTGGAACGCGCAACGCTGCCCATACGAGTTTCCTGTCAATAGTACGACCTCTGAAAGGGGGCCCCCATTGGCATGGCCAACAACCATCGACGGGTCCCTGGAACCAACGGCATGATGATGGTGCGTATTTCATCTCAGGGGGGGGACGGCTGCGTCCCCTGGGTTGTATGTATTGGAGAGTGATAAATATTTATCGAAAATGAACGCAATAATGCCTGCTTGCTAATTTGATAGTTGTACTTCATTAAGGCGGCAGAATCCACCGCTGCTTTCAACCAAACCTGTTCCCGAGGAAAATGATACCAATGTGGATGCCGATAACTCAAACTTGAAATGATATGCCCCTTCAGAGTAACCCAGAGACTCATACCTCACACGAACCACGCGCGCACACAGCGAAGTCCTCGTGTAAATACCTCCTGGCCCCCATTCAGAGGAATAGGGGCCTTTGCCTTTCAAAAACAGCAGGGGAGGAATGGAGACTTATTCCTCATCCCCACCGGCAACGGTCACCTGCGTCCCCTGATCCTTCTGGCCGCCAAAGGGCAGCTTCGCGCGGTTGACCCGCAGCACGACGACGCCGAGCAGCGCCGCCTCGACAACGATGAGCAGCCAGGCGGGGATGCGCGCGAGGTTCCTGTTGTAGTCGGTCCACACGGCCGTCAGGACGGTGGCGAGCAGGGCGACGTAGAGGACATAGCCCGAAGCGCGGTGGTACTTCCACACGGCCTTGGCGCGGTCCTCGCCGCCGTAGAGCGAGGGGATGGCCCACATGGTGAAGCCGACGAGGTACTGCAGCACGATGAGGGCGGCGACGAGGACGCCGAGGTAGCCGTGGAGAGAGTGGAAGTGGGGCCCGTGGGAGCGGAACTTGTTGACCTCGATGATGGTGACGCCGGCGACGAGGAGGAGGAAGGCGGCGAGGTTGAGGACGGCGTGGACGCGCTGGCCCTGGCGCTTCTGGGCCGCGTCGTGCGTCGGCTGGAGGACGAGGACGGACTGCGTCAGGATGAGAATGGCCAGCGACTGGGCGAGGGGGTGGCCGGTGAAAAGGATGACGGGGTGGGCGAGGATGTAGGACCAGATAATTGCGACGAGGGCGAGGATGAGGATTTGGGCGGTGATTCCGGGCCAATCTAGGGAGGTCAGTTTGCTGGATCTTCACGTCACAAACAGTCGAAGCAGCGTCTGAGGCAGCTTGCGATACAGCGACATACCGAGGATGGGGTTCTTCCAGATCTTGGCTGTTGTTGGCTGTGAGCGACGTATTCCGCCAAGAAGCGGCGTCGTGGCCGAGGGCTCGTGTTCAGGCATATTTTGAATGGGTGATCGCTTTGGACAGAGGCAGACGATGGATGTGAGAGCTAGAAAGTGAAGATGTAAGGCGGCGGTTGACAGGCAGGAAGTCGGTCAGTCGTGTTCATGTCAAGCTCACTTCATCAAAACATCGATGATGCTGGGTTTGTCAGAGAGCCAATCAACAGGCGGCCATTACTGCCCCCCCTGGACACGCTCGTGGCGGGGTAGGGGAATGAGGTGCTCTGGCTGCACCTGCCGTCATTGTTGTGCGTGCCGACTTTGCCTTTGGGTCTTTGGGTCGCGTGCAGCAACAGTCGCAACATCAGCAGCAGCAAACCATGGCAATTCAACTTCTCCATCTCCACTACAGACTGTGGGTGGCAACACCGAAATGAAACGAAAAGCACAAACGCATCGACAGCTTCATCTGGGTCTGCCCCGACTCGCAAAACCGTCTCAGTTCCGTGTCCGTGTCATTTGCATGACCCCAGCTTTCTCTCCACGATCAAGAGATAAAGAGAATCGATCGGACCCTGCCGACAATGGAGCCCATGCGTCGAGTTGGTGCATCAGCCTTGGATCCCCGTGGATATAAAGACCCCAGAACGCCCCCGGGCCTGTCCCTCCGTTATGACACCTGATGAGATGGTGTAACTATCAGCAAATCCACTCCCTTCGGGCGCCGAAAAAAAAGCCGCTGAGCCGTGCTGCGGGGCAGCCCAAGGCTACCATGCAAACACCTCCAATCCTCCCACTGCTCGCGTCAAGCACGCGCCATCACCCGATAGCACTGGACCGCCAGACCCCCTCAGAGAGGCAGGCCCTCGAGTCACCTATCGTCCTCGGCACCAACATTTGCTCCCCACGCCGCCTCCGGCAACCTGCCCCTACGCCGACGGCGCACCCTCCGGCCTCAAATGAAGCCATCTGCGGCCGCACCCATTGGCTCGAGGCCTCCATCTCCATGCTCAAGTCACCCCGCGTTGCGCCGCGCCCGCGGGCAAGCGGGCAGGTGCAGCATGGGACAACCTCCCAACACCCGTAGCCCCATCGGCATCGATGTGGAGCGGCGGGGTTGGAGGGGTCGCGTCGAGGGGTCGAGAGCGCTGGAGGTGACCCGGGACTGACCGGTGTCGGAAGTGGCCGACAAGGCCTAAAACCTCGCCGTAATCGCCAGTGAACTTGTTTGTCTTGCCTCGTTCTCCTTTCTTACCTCGCTACCATTGCCATTGTTGCATTGCTCATTCTTGTGATACCATCTTGCTGCTGTGCTGTCTATCGATCGAACCATCAGATAACCCCACACAAAACACCTCCCCCACTACATCACCACTACCACCACAACCACCACAACCACCGACGCCATGGCCTCGCAGGAGTATAAGCTCGAGTCGATCAAGGCGACGCGCATTGCGCCCGACGACATTGACACGACTTTCCGTTCCAGCTCCATTGGTATGCATGCGCCGCTGGTCTCTGACGGACCGTCTCCCCCTGGTTCGCCTCAGCTAACAAATGCGGGCAGATCTCGTCTCCGGCACGCTTGGCGGCAAGATCCTCGCCTTCTCCGACGAATGGTTCGCCGAGGCCCAGAACCTCATCACCCCGACGCCGCCCATCCGCCAGCCCGGCAAGATGGTGTACACGGGTGCCTGGTACGACGGATGGGAGACGCGCCGCCACAACACGGCGCCCTTCGACTGGGTCATCCTCCGACTCGGTGTCGCTTCCGGCACCGTCGAGGGCATCGAGGTCGACACGGCCTTTTTCAATGGCAACCACGCGCCGCATATCTCGGTCGAGGGCGTCTATAACCTCAACGATGACGAGGTCGTCTCGTGGAAGGGCGAGCGCGGCGGGTGGGAGACGATCCTCGGCATTGAGGAGTGCGGTCCCTCGCAGCGCTTCGGATGGAAGCTCGACGTGCCCACGACGAAGAAGTACACGCACGTCCGTCTCAACATGTACCCCGACGGCGGCATTGCGCGGTTCCGCCTCTTCGGCCACGCGGTGCCCGTGTTCCCCGACGACAAGGAGGCCATCCTCGACCTGGCGTCGGCGCAGAACGGCGGCGTCGCCATCTCGTGCAGCGATCAGCACTTTGGCACCAAGGACAACCTGCTGCTGCCGGGGCGCGGCAAGGACATGGGCGACGGATGGGAGACGGCGCGTTCGAGAGGCAAGGACCACGTCGACTGGACCATCATCCGCCTGGGTGCGCCGACGCGCGTGCAGAGCCTGCTCGTCGACACGGCGTACTTCCGCGGCAACTACCCGCAGCAAGTCAAGCTCGAGGCCATTCAGTGGGAGGGCAGCGGGGAGCCTGGTGTCGACGCTGAGGGCTGGCAGGCGCTCGTGGCGCCGAGCAAGTGCAAGGCGGATTTCGAGCACGAGTTTGACAGCCTGCTGAAGGATGCCGTGACGACGCACGTCAAGCTCGTCATCATTCCCGACGGCGGTGTCAAGCGAGTGCGTGTCTACGGCAAGCGGGCATGAAGGGGGTTGGCTAGCTGTCAGGGCGTCTTGTGTTGTAGGGGCGTGGAGTACTTATGAGCCTACATCCACGATCCATCCATGAGAAATAGTATCCACGCGTGCCAATGAAGAAAGTGAAGAAAATTGATGCGCATACGAGTCCAGGGCGAAAAGCAATCCAGCGGAATGGAAAGGGGTGCCTCAGATTGATGTTTCGGGTCGCCTTGGCTTGCGCCTCTATATGGCCTGGCTCAGCCTTGCAGGCGTCTCACAGCACTCTCACAGCATGGGTGGCACCGTGCATCTGGGACCGAACGACGAGACATGGACTGTCTGTGGCACGGCATTGACCGTCTGTGGCACTGGCGGGCAGTGGCTGCAGCGGGTCATCAGAAGTGGGGCCTTGCCCAAGTGACATCAAGCGTCGATTCCACTATGCCCCCCCCCATCGTTGGATGCCCCGGTTGACATTCGACATTGGCATCCCGAGGGCATCACAACACGATACGTCGCCGAACTGCACGCCTCGTCAGCAAGAAGCAGTCCCGGTCCGAAGCTCTCTTCCGACGGAACTCGTTGAAGCGACTGTCCACAAGCTCCCATCACGATCACCCAGACCCACCCACCGCCTATGCCGACCCTCGTCCACACGCCACGCCACCCCTCCATCCACCATGGATCTGGGGGATTCTAACGGCGCACACGAGCAGCACAAGATGCCTCGCGCGCTGCCCGCCGACCTCCCCACCTCCCTCAACGACAGGAGACAGCGGCCGACGGATCTGGTCCAGGAGACCGAGATGTATGATGGCTGGCAAGGCATGTCTCTGAACCCTCCCTCTGTCCGCTTTTGCCTCTCCTTTTCTTTCCCTTGCTCCCCTCCCCCCAATATCCCAATCCCACCCATTCATTCCAACACAGGGGCCCGGCATGAGGAGACGAATGAAGACTATACACACACACACACACACACACACACACACACACACACACGTTGCAAGTCGGGCTAACACGGCGTGTCCCTGGCGAAAACAGGCCAGTCCCAGTTCCTGACGTCCCCGATCCTCGCCAAACCGCTGTCCTTCACCGATCTGACCCTCGACGACGACCGCGCCTACGACGACGACGCCGCCGCCGCCAAGGGCCCCGCCAGCAGCGACACGCGCCTCATGGAGATGCTCGCCGCCCAGGCCGCCCACCAGGCGGCCCCGAGCTTTGGCGACGAGGCCGCCATCCTCGCCGACGACGCCCTGTCCGACGCCGAGCGCCGCGACATGCTGCAAAAGGCCCTCAACATGGCCGCCAGCAACGGCGACGTCGAGCGCATCGAGCGCCTCCTCGGCGGCGAGGCCAAGGCCCTGCTTGATATCAATGCGGCCGACGAGGACGGCACGACGCCCCTCATCTATGCCAGCTGTTTTGTACGTTTCCCCTCCCCCTTGCCCCATCCCCGTTCCCCCTTTGCCCCTTGACCAGACACACCAGACGTGGCGTCCTCGCGACCCGAACCGGAATGCCAGAGGCGAGAGGGGCGAGCCGGCTGACAGTCCACACAGGGCCACGATGGCGTCGTGCAGGCGCTCATCGACGGCGGCGCCGACGTCGACCGCCAGGACCGCAACCAGTGGAGCGCCCTCATGTGGGCCATGACGAACCGCCACAAGGGCATCGCCAAGATGCTGCTCGACAATGGCGCGTCGCCCGAGCAGAAGACGTCGTCGGGCCGCACGGCCTTTGACTTTGTGCCGCCCGACAGCGACATGTCCTTTTACCTCCACGACAGCGGCTACAACATTGGCAACGCGGGGACCGACGACTTTTACAACCCGGGCTTCGAGCAGGACCGCTTCGAAGAGGAGATGGCCGAGAACGAGATGCGCAGGCGCATGATGATGGACAGCGCGCGTGATCTCGAGGTCGACCTCGGCAATGTCGGCATCGACGATCAGCCAGAGGTACGGAAGAAAAAGATCGACAAGGGGAGAAAGACTGCTGACAGCGTTTGCAGGAACCCGATGAGTTCGAGGAAGAGCAGCCCGAGTTTGACTGGAGCCGCTGCCTGCACGACCAAATGTTTGTCTTCCAGGAGCACGAGCTCGACCGCATCCTCGACATTGTCATCACCAACATGCGCCCGCAACGGTCGCCGACGCAGAAACCGGTCCCCGCCAACATGATCTTCCTCAGCGCGCGGTACGCGCACTACCACGCGAGCGCCGACCTGCTGGCCAAGCTGCTCATCTCGGCCATGGACAAGATCAACGACGTGGTCGAGGAGTACCAGTGGGACATGACGATCCTCGCCTTTTGGATCTCCAACGCGACGCTGCTGCTGCACTACCTCAAAAAGGACGCCGGCCTGATGGAGGCGACGGGCGAGTTCCAGGCGCAGCTCGCCGAGCTCATCAACGAGATTTTCATCCTCATCGTGCGCGACGCCGAGCGCCGCCTCGACAAGGTGCTCGACGCCGCCATGCTCGACCATGAGACGATTCCCGGGTTCGAGAACATTACATTTCAGAACGAGTGGAGGATATTCAAGCGCAAGACCCAGGTCAAGGAGGAGCCGATCGAGAAGCGCTTCCGGCCGCCGTCGCCCAAGCAAAAGGCCAAGCCGGCGCCGCGCAACGTCACGTCGCTGCTGTCGTCGACGCTCTTCGTCCTCGACCTCTACGACATACACTCGGTCATCACATCGCAGATTACATCGCAGCTGCTGTACTGGATCGGCGCCGAGCTGTTCAACCGCATCATGTCGAACCGCAAATACCTCGCGCGCACAAAAGCCATGCAGATCCGCATGAACGTCTCCCTGCTCGAGGACTGGGCGCGCACGAACAACAGGCAGCCCGAACACTACGAGGGCGGCGAGACGCGGTCCACGGGCGAGACGACCATTGACGCCGCACGGCGGCATCTCGCGCCCGTCATCCAGCTGCTGCAGTGGCTGCAGGTCTTCTCGTCCCTCGACGCCGACGATCTCGAGGCGCTCGTCGGCACGCTGCAGCAGCTCAAGCGCATGAGCCCGCAGCAGCTCATCCACGCGGCGCAACATTACAGACCCGAGGTCGGCGAAAAGGGCCTGCCCAAGAGCGCGCTCAAGTACCTCAACGCCATACAGCAGGAGCACGACCGGCGCAAGGAGGAGAACCGCCACAGCCGTGGGGCGTCACCGGCGCCTCCCAAGACGACGCCGAGCGCCCCAGCGACGCCGGTCAAGGGGCAGACGGCGGCAGCGGCAGAAGCCGACACGCCCCAGCAACAACAAAAGTCCCCCCACACGGACGACGGACCACAGGAAGAGGAGGAGGATGTGCCGGAAAATCTGCTGCTCGACCCGGCGCTGATGCTGCCATTTTCATTGCCAAGCGTCACGGACATGCTCGTTTCGTTTGGGGCCGGGTTTGGCGGGCTCAACCGGGAGAGGGAGAGGAAGTACATCCCGACGGTGCCGCCAGAGTTTCTGGCCAAGCTGGAAGCGAGTGGGGCACGGAAGGGTCCCATGTTCAGCGAGAAGGACTGGGAGAACGAGGAGGTGTAGAAAGATAACGACAGGACCTAAAGACTCATTAGGCTGGGCTCGGCCCGCGGGGTGAAGCTCGCTGCCTGCTGCCTCTGTGGTGCACAGCTAGGCGTGGTGATGAATAGAAGGGCCGGGGGCGGCGCGGCAGGCGTTTGTCAGTACAATTGCAAAGCGACGACGACATGAATCTTGGCGACTGCGAGGAAGAACATGTGGGCAACAGCCAGTGGTGAGGACCTCAATAGTGACACCCTTTTTTTCCGTCCTCAGTGGCCTCCCCCCCTTTTCAGATGCCGTGTCAACGAGAATTGTTCAGCTCGTGACACGTTCCTACGCGCGTGTATGTGACGAGTAGAAAGAAAATCCACGTTGCAGGGCTCTCTCTGTAAGTATGAATATGTTGACATGGTCAGAGAACAAGAAGAACGGGCCGGCAGGTGAAGAAGCACGGTGCGGAAGGGGGGAACAGAGGAGATGACGAGCCAAGCCGTGGGCGTTCGAGTCGTGCGTGCCTGACTGGTTCTCACGTCGCTTGTCAACCGAGGCGAACGGCCCACGTACAGCCTGCCACGTCAATCATGCACCAATTCGACAACGTCTTTTTTTCTTCCTCGAGCTGACTGGACGAAGTCTTGTGATATCTGATTGAAAATTTTGTTGATAAAGAAAAAAAAAACCGCCTGCTGAAGAGAGGTTCGGCAAGGAATGGCTCGGGCGGGATTGGCCGACTTGTAGATTGCCGACTTACTTTGTCCTGCGAGGCGTGTTTCTTTTCCTCCCCGGGGGGCCTAGGAGTCTGGGGGAGCCCTGGAGAGGATTATTGATTATCTGATGCTTCCCCCCCCCTCTCTCTCTATCTCCAGGAGTGGAGAGGAGATCAATGGAAGCTGATGCGCAAGTGGCCCTCGGGAGGCAGATCGCTGGCCAGCTGGTGGCGGTTTGTGGTTTTTCTTTTGGCGGGCGGACCGAGACAGTGGGTTCGGAAATCGTGTCAGCCGGTCATGGTACCTGCATTGACGGCTGTGTGCCTGCGCCTGTATTTGGTGCCTGGATCTGGGGTTGATCTAGATTTTGATCGGAGGAGACCTGATGATGGAGAGGAGCGGATGATGGACGGGGAGGTTCGAGGGGAGGTTCGAGGGGAGGTTCTGCGAGAGGGATGGCCAAGGCGTCTGCAAACGGCAGTTGGGCTTGAGCTTGGATAGCGTGGGGACGCTTGTGACCTGTGTCGGTAGCAGAAAGAGAAGTGAGTTGCTTGGCAGGCAAAGATTGAGGGCCATGAGGCATGAAGCAGTATTGGGTAGAGCGGGTATGGAATAGGTTCCGTTCGTGATGACCCAAGACGAGGCAATGTGAGGTGAGGTGGCATGTCACGTTCGCTGCGTTGGCAACGGCAGGCACCATGGACAATACAATACGATAGGCGCATGTGGTTTGGCGGCAGTTGCACAATGCCTAGAGCGGTGACACCCAAGATACCGCGTCAAACGCCCATTGA